GCGGGATCTCGACCGGCGCCAGGTCCGCCATGGTGAGCGACGGGTAGAGCGGCGGCGCCGACGGGGCCGGGCTACTAGGGTTGGCGGGGTTCGGGCGGGTGTAGGAGGCCATGGGGGATTGCAATGCGGGAGAGCTTTAAGGCGGGGAGGAGTGGCGGAGGAGGAGGGAGAGCCGTGGGGATTGTGGAAGGCGACGGCGAGGACGGCGACGGCACGTCGGCGGTGGCGTGGCCCCTTGTATAGGGGATCCCGGCCGCGTACGTGGCGACGTGGCGTTGGCTGGCCGGGTCCACGCGGTGGGGAGTGGTGGGGCCCGGCTGCAGGTTTGGTTTGTTAATTGGTTGGGTTGTGCGATTCAGGGCAACACTCTCTGGTCTATGACTTGTGGGGCCAACGCTTTGTTTGCTTAGGCTCCTGGCGGTATGTCGACCCCACTGTCGGTGAGGTGGCTTCGGTTGGGAGCTGAGCGTGGTCGGCGCACGCGGGGGTTGTTTCACCACCAATAGCTAGCGGTGGAGCGTGCGTGGCCACACCCACACTCGTAAACGTACTCCAAGCATGGAGTTTTCCTCCGTGACGAAGCAACTTCAAGGACAAGATCAATCAAATATCGCTTGACAGTTGACGCCACAAGAAAAATACAGATATTGCACGAATAGACCTAGGAGGGTGGTACTTTTCCTCCAAATTATAGTGTAGATAAATCTCTAGAAATCTATGAACAATCTAGTCATGCAAATGGGGGCGTTGCTAGCGCACACGCTCAATTTTCGACAAGCTGGGATGTCCCGACTTGGGATTACATGTTATAAGAGTGTTTTCGACACTACACTAGCGTCAAAAACGCTTTTATATTATTAGATTAATGGGTGGGTCTGCTTCATTGAACTATGCATGGATGTGGCAGGCTTCGACGCAATACAAGGGAAGTTGTTGGACGACGCTCCCCCTTCGATTGATTTGCTCGCTCCAATGAGCGAACGCGAAGGAGCTCTTCTAGATTCTCCAAAATTCCTTTGAATCAAAGGACCCGGAGGTCCGTGAAAAAAAAAACCATGTCTCTCGTGGGTCTCTCTCACCGAGTGACTCGGAGGAGCAAACCCTAGAGGGGTTGCTGGTTATCCCAAGCGCCTACCTCACCGCCGGCCCTGCTGCTATGCAGCATGCTCCATTCCTTGAAGGGGGAGGGGATACCTTGGTTGCCTTGGTGCGACAAGGCTTAGAGGTCGGGGTGGCGGCTCAATATAGGGTGGCGGCGGCTATGCGCACCCAATCATGGAAGCGTGTGTCCATCGTGCGGACGTGCAGCGGCGATGCTATGATTTGACAGCATAGAGTCACGTTGGCTGCGTGTCAGGTGTGCATGTGCGGAGGCTGTGCAGATTTGGGTGTGGCAGCTGGTCAGCCTGATGCGATGAGCCGACGACTGCTCTTGGTCTTGTGGTGGTTGTGGCGGCAAGGTCGACGAGTGTAGGTCACGTTGCATAGCATGGTGCGGTTTGGTGGTCGGTGGTTAAGTAGTGGTGGTATGCCAGCTTGCTTCCTGTGGAGCTTGACGGAGGAGATGGAACACCGGGTGAAATCCTAGCACCGATGTTGGTCGGTGATGAACAAGACGACGCCCTTGGGTATTGTTTTTTCTTCTTCTTGGAGGTATGGTTGATCTTGAGAGCATTGACATGTCCGCCTGACATTGGGAGCACTCCATCAAACAATGGTGGATCTACAACTCCGGACACAAAGTCCCGAAGAGGAAAGCAATGGCATCCCTCGTTATGCTCATCGGTTAGACTCTCTGGAAGGGGAATGCCGGCGTCTTCCGTCACAAGTCTACTCCTTTGCCGGTTCTCCTCCACAATGATCAAAAATGATGCCTCGCCTGGGGTGACCGCCGGTGCCAAGTACCCAGGGAAGATAATTTATATAGGGAGAGTAATGATCTTATGTGATTCGGGGTACTTGTAGCCCAACTCCAAAGTCTATTTTGTGGCACTTGTGGTGGGTGGTCTGACGATCATGGCCGTGTAGGAGCAGTTTAGCATGGAGTGATACGTGAGGCTGGCCTACATGAACCTCTATAGGTACAAGATGTTGTACTAGAGCTCCTCCCTAACATGCTACCTCCGAGCCAGCGAATGCCTCATTGAACTGCTGAAGGAGACATCGTGAGCTTCTTCTCTTTCCAATTCTACTAGTGTGGGATTGGTTGATTATTTGGCTCCTGCTGCTAATGGCTCTAGGCGTTTGTATAGCTAGTTTGTTTGCCAGTCCTTCTACTCTACTCTGGACAATTATTGTTAACTTTGCAATTTGCGCTTGATGTGCCTCCGAGCACCAAACAAAGTATCACCAAGATTCAGCGGGCTTTCCTTTGGGCGGGGACTGATCAGATCTCGGATGGCAAATGCAAAATTAACTGGAAGGTGGTTTGCCAACTAACTAACTTGGGTGGCCTGGGTATCCTCGACCTTGACAAATTCTCTCGAGACGCTTAGACTGCGTTGGCTATGGTTTGTTTGAGTGGACCCTCAAAGGGCCTGGGTTGGTCTCGAAACCCCATGCGACGATAAGGACAAGGACCTTTTCTATGCGGCCACTAAAATCACCATTGGGGATGGAATGAAGGGGAGTTTTTGGCACTCCCCTTGGTTGGATGGTCACAAGCCTAAAGACATTGCCCTGGGCATCTTCGCCCTTTTCAAGCACTCCAATAGATGCATCGCTACCGCGATGGCCAATAATGATTGTGTCAGACATATTAACTTCCAAGGTGGCCTTTCAGTTACCCTAATCCAGCAATTTTGTGATCTTTGGTCTAGAGCTCAGGAGATCAATCTTGTTCCAGGCATTAGCGATAGCATCCGTTGGAAGTTCACGTCGGACGGTTGCTGCTCGGCGGCCACTGCGTACAGGATGTAGTTCGCCGATCAAGTCTGCATTGCCACAGATGGTTTGGAGGATTAGTGCGCCCCCTAAGATTAAATTCTTCTCCTGGCTTATCCCGCAAGATAGAATTTGGACGGCTGACAGACTGCAATGCAGGGGTTGGCCAAACAGTGGCCTTTGCCAACTTTGCAAGTAGGAGCCGGAGTCGGTGGCCCATATTATGTTCAAATGCCGCTTCACTATCAGGGTGTGAAACTTCATTTTCGGCTGGATGGGATGGCAATCTTCGACCCTCTCTTGGGCCGACTTTGAGATGGTGAATCAATGGTGGATTTCAAGTGAGGACCGGCCAGGCTACTCCAGGAAGGCGGTCAACTCCCTGCAAATGCTCATATGTTGGGAGATTTAGAATGAAAGGAACGCCCGCGTATTCCGCAATAAGGCTTTCCTACCTTCACGGGTGGTGGCATTGATTAAGGATGAGGGGAAGACCTGGGTAGTTGCGGGGGCTAGGTTTCTAGGAAATATTCTGCCGAGAGAGCGATCCCTTTGTTCGGACCTGAGTTGTCCTGTAACCATTAAGACTATGTTCCTCTTCTTCTTAATTAATTATATTAAATGAGGCAAAACTTTTGCCTCCGTTTAAAAAAAGTTTGCACCGCATTTTCTCAATATGTGATGTGATGAAGCTGGAGATTGTTACAGGCACACCACATGGTACCAACTGAAGCCATAATAGATCATCAGACTGAAACTGAAACTATCTCCACCTGCCAACCTGTGCTAATTAATTCTCCATCCATAGAATTCGACAACATCTCTTTCTTTACATTCACAACTGCAAAGAAAGATCACACATCCATCCACAACACCATACCACCATACCAACAACATGTATGGTTCACACATCTCCAAGCCTAGTACTAGGTTCAACGCAACACAAAAGGCAACATGCAGTTCCATGGTTTCCAGCGACATCAAAGGACCGACTCACACACGACAGCTAGAGTAGTTCCAGGTGCTATTTATTTAGATAGATATAGATAGACACAGGCACATAGCGAGACATAGTTCACCACTAGCCCCAGCATCAAGAGCGGATCAGCAGAAAAACATGGAGCTCCTCACATTCTCATGCAGCCGAGGCAGCTCCGGCACCAGGATGCTGCCCGCCGACATGTCTTCAAACATCACGAACGTGCCTACCTGTGCAGCCGCCAGATGCGCGTACATAATCGGAGCAACTGCAAGCCAACCCAAGCAAAAACACAACAAAACATAAGGAACAGTTCTCATTATTTGCCAAGCAAAGACAATGAGTCGCACATACCGACTGATATCGCTGTTGTGCTCCTCTGGTACCTGAAAAGGTCACAGCAACAGGGTTCAGGCATAGCTTGACAACAGTTTTCTTCTTATCAGAATGATACAAAATCATCAAGCTCTGTCACCCTAGACTGCCTGTCTACGTACACGTATGAAAGCGAATGCACAAATTCCTGAAGCTCATCTGCGGTGAATCCGATCTCGTCATGCAGAACATGGTAATGTGTTGGCCTCGACGTGCCCTGGCACACACAACAAACACAAACTTAAGTAGGACCATCACTGGGCATACTGGTACGTGGTGGTAGTAACCAAAAAAAAAAAAAAACAGAGCAGAAAGCAGAGATTACTTACTATCATCCCAGCATGTGCACACATGTAGAAGTCGAAATTCTTGGGATGGCAGACCTCTTTATCCACGACGGTCCCTACAGAATGGTGACATGAACACTTGCTTTTACCATCATTTCGCAGAAAATTGCAAGTTTATGTGACATGCGATGTTTCGCTCTAGAAAAATAGTAGGGGACTCTGCCATGATTGGTCGAAATAAAGTTTACCAGGAGGAACATTATCTGGAGACTGAGCCTGGAAAAATCTCGTATGATGATTTTTCTGAGCAACAATGACTGTGAACTTAGGCTCCCACGTCTCGTCGAGGAACTTGCAGGCCTGCATTGATTAAAAGTAAACGAAATAACACTGTCCAGTGCAGGGTAATTACTTGTAGTCACACAAATACACTACCTCGATGATCTGCTCCAGCTCAATGTTGATGACCTGAGTAAACTGGCTTTCGCTAACTCCATCCCTAGAATTAGCAAAAGTTATACAAGTTGGTGGTTAAGACATCATCAACTATCCATTTTCAGTATAGAACATTTCTGGAACTACAAAATTTACTGGTATTACCAAATAGTAGTAATTTCCGAACTTAGTACCTGAAAATAATAATTTGCTCTGGTTTTCGATTCCCAGAACTAGTGTAGAAGTCCATGAGTGATTCCCTGGAAGTCCCAAGTGCAATGGCATTTTTTCCGTTAGGAAAGTGTACAATAAAGTATATAACATACATACAAGGACATGCACACATAGTATTATTCACAATAAACTGAACTCAAGATTGGATCATATGCCATGTCTTACCGAATGAGGCCATCATCCTTTCCCCATGGTTTAAATAAGGAGGACATCATTTCTAGTTTGGGTGATTGAGTGTGCACTGTTGCTCTGTACTTGGAGATGAGAGGCCACTCGCGAGAATTAACGACCTAAAGGAAATCCAAAGCCATACTTACAAGTACAGTCATAGAAACATTTACAAAATTGCAATCATGCAGATGATATCTGAGCTACTATTCAGAGATAAAAAATGTATCCCTCATACATACCGCAGCGGTGGAAGGCCTATCAGATTGCCCAGGCTGACCATGTGACACATACATGCCCAAGATGATAGTAGGCAGCTTCCCCACAATGGGTAGTACTGCAGGTGCAGGGGATAGTTCACATTGCAGCAATGTGTTGAGACCACCAAGCTGGGTACCAACAGGTTAAAAGACAACAGCCATTAGCGTATACAGCAGTCAACAAATACAGTAAAAGGAAAACAGTGTCATGTCAACAAACTTTATCATTTATCTTCAATAACACATTAATCAGGTACTGATCGTTGACTTTTCTTGGAGGAGCTAGACATTGTATGAAGATGCCGCATTCAACAAGACACTTCCTCTTCCAAGGCCCTGGTTGAAGAAAATATAAATTATTTATTCTGCAACAGATAATCATGTAACAAATAACAACAACCGAAAACATGAATCAACCATAAATTTCACAGTTTTTTCTCACAGGAAGAAGACACAGGAGGAACTTGGGGTCTCCAGGTGGATCGGAATTTATCTTAGCAAACATCTCGTCCACTCTACGTGATGCAGGAGCTCTTCTTGCCGACGGGCTCTCTTCAATTACATCACAATAAGGGTACTCTATTTTCTGCAAATAAATGAGGTTCAGCAACAGAAAATAATAACAGTTATAGATGTTGTAGAAAAAGTAGAACATACAATCCCCATTTCAGTTGCAATCCTTTTAAGCTCTTGGACAAGACCATGAACATCACACTCTGCAGAGAAATTGACAACTGCCCATTTGTTGACAGAACATGTCCGAATCAGCTTCTGAAACAAAAAGAATCAGCAAACTGACAGAAGGTTCTTTGAAGATGATGATGATGAAGTAACAAAGACGTCTCATTAAAAGAAAATATGCTGACCTTTTTCGAAACATTCCACCTTCCGTTGCGTGGGAAGAATTCTTCACCGTTACCGGCTTTCAGCTATATGATAGAAGACTTACTTAAATACATTCAGAAGAACATCCAGCACGAGCATGACAAACTAAGTTTGAAGAGTTCTCACTAACCTTGGGTGCTGGCAGGACCCTCCCTTCAATTTGAGTAAAATGTTGGGCAATTGAAATGCCGCATGCCTTCACCATGGGGTCAGAGTCATAGTTGGTGCGTTTAAGTGCCTTGCATTTAGGGTGACATGAACTATCAGATAAGTGCCATATCACTAAAAAAACAGCAAGCCAAAATTTAGATGATAACTCACATCGTTAAGTATTGACATTCTTTCATAAGGCTTTTGTCTGGACTTCTCCACAAGTGAGGACCGCTGCAGAGTAGACAGATCTTTGGTGTATCTTTGCAGAGGAATGAGCTCACAAAGCTGGCCATACGAAAAGTTCACACCAGGACTTCAGATCATGGATGAAATTCCAGAAGGGGAAAAGATAAAGGTGTAAAATAACAAAACTGAAACGAACCTCCACAGGGAAGTACGTAGGACGATTTCGCCTCTCAGCATTGATACAGGGAAGATCGGAATAGCGCAGTTCTATGCCTCTATTATGTACAAAGTATTCATGGACTGTTATTTCAACAGTATTAGTGTCTCCATTGTCACCATCCTTCCGCCTCAATAGAAACGTAGTTAAACATGCAAAACACGAAGCAGTCAATAAATAGCAGCAAAGTGCAGGGAATAGACCAAACTAGAAACAGTAGGACACCTTCCCAAATTATTTATTTAAACACTGGTAAAGAAGAATAAAATGGCAAGAAGGAACTCTGTCTCACGTCTGCTCATTGCATTTTTTTCTCACTCAAACCAAAAATCTTGAACTCTGAATTAGCATGAGTGGTTTTTATCCTCAAGTTCTTGAGAGCAGGCTTGGCCTGTGAGGAAAACATCCAAATTAGGATTATCGAAAGTAAATATGGTCGGACGACTGTTCATTCAATATTATCAACAACATCAAAGATACAACTTACCTTTGACCAGTCAATTCTGTTAGGGTGATGAACCATCTGGTTTGCAAGAAGAAAATCAATAACAGGACCAGGTTTAACTAGCATGGTAGTCGAAACATCTGCAGGTTAAAGTAAGTTTGATATGACAATGTTAATTCTGATGGAGCCATTGCGAAATGAAAGACGGAGTTATACAACAATACAATAGGGTGAGATTCATACCGATGTTTAGGGAGAGTCCACTCTGCGTACCACGGAAACTTGAGTGAAATCCTCTGCACCCCACCACACCACCTTTCAAGTCAACAAAATTACGAGGATTGTTCTGGAAAAATGACTGGCTGAGTAGAAGACAGCCCCTGTGGAAAGTCCAAAAAATTAACCATGGTCATGGCATGAAGGCATATCTCAAGCCCAAGCACAGAGTAATGCTTGTGGAGGCATGGGAACGAGACATTCATGACGGTACATACTGTTTTGCAGAATGCTGCCTCAGTATGATATCAAGAACTCGAAGAGCCTCGAGAGAGTTCTCTGATTCTTGACCTCTAAGGGCCTGCGTGATTGCGGCCGTAGGGATTTTTGCCACAAAGCAAAGCTCCACTTTGAAAATCTTTGTCTTGTAGGGCCTCTTCACTCTCTTCGTGTCACTACCTCCAGGACTGCTGCCACTATTACCTCCAGAGCACCTACAACCAAGTAAGAATTGAGTTATACTGAACACCAAGCATGGTATATAACTATATACTAGACAGGAGTAGATAGCCTGCAAGCAGGTCAAGGAGTAGAACTCACTTTCCCCTTCCGATGTCTTCCAACACTACAGTGAACTCATTGTGTACCTGGGGAAGAGCCCCGATTGTAAAGAGGCTCTTCTCACCATCATATGCAAATTCATTGTTCGCGAGCTCGGAACGGTACATATGCTGCAGTTTATCCAGAACCTTTCTCCCTATCCCCTTTCCAACAACAGGTTGATCATCCTCATACTTCAAATTAACCTACCCATGATAGTATAACACAACACCAGATCAGCATGGGTATATGTAAATTAAAGTGTCACAAACAAGTATGCTCACATGGTAGTGGTGGAAAAAGTCCTCTGAACTCTCTTCCCAAGCCCGGGCCTGGCCTTAGGGAGCCTCTTGGGCTTTGCAGGCTTTTTTCGAGGCAGTTCCTCGGCGGCATCTTCTTCTGCTCTGATGGGCACCACGTCGAGAGGCAGAGGAGGCTGTGGTGGCAACTCCTCTGGGCCCCCATCACTAAGATCCATCTTGGCTGAACAGACAGAGCTCTGTGGGAGTGCAAATGGTAAGCAATAGTAAGTAGTTAATCTAAGAAAATGCAATGGTGAATAGTACATACAAAACAGGAAACAAATTGATTCCAATTCCAGGATGACCAAGAAGCTCAACTGCTTAAATGAAATATAAAGGGCAGTATATGCTAATTGCTAATATATTGATTGTATTGATTTTAGGAATAGGAATGACTGCAATGATGAAATGGTCTAGATATGAAGAAGATTTACTCTCTAGCTCTAGAAGAAGTTATAAAAAAACATTTTGTGCATGTTTAGAAGCAGTAAGTTTGTAAATAGTATGATGATAGTGATATTGCAAATATTTGCGATGACAAAAGAAATGGTATATATGTAAAGAAGATTGGCAAATTTTAACATGCTCCTTACCCCCTCTTTTTACATGTGAGGTAAGAGTTAAAACTGCTCAAGAAGATTTACTCTGCAGCTCCAAACTGAGTAATAAATTTTATTAGGTGTGAGACAAGCAGTATAAGTAAAACAGAGATTGCAGAGTCCTATGACATATGAAACCCCCCAAAAATGCATCGCTGCACTATGTAGAGCATGTTCCTCCTCCCTTATTTTGAAGGAGTAATTCCTTGGGAGAGGAGAAAATAAGACGAGATTGCCGGCTGTAAAATGAAAGGACATTCACATTGAACCCTAGAATTGAAAAGTAGAACGAAAGGGGAAAAAGCTATTGTTTGAAGACAAAAAAAAACCCAGCCAAGAACAAATATCTCCCTTGTGAAAACCCCCCAAGAAGAACCTCTGGGTATTTACTTATTTTGGTCATCCAAGAAAGAAATCTCCTCTGTGACGGCATATTTCGTAACTTGAATCCCCAAGAAATCCCCCAAGAAGAACAAAGTAAAGCTAGCACTGTGTGTTTTGTGCTTCACAAGATTTTCTTTAAATATAGCTGAATCTTAGTTTATTTATCATTTTTTGCGGGAACACAAGAAGCTTAGTAAGGAGACCTTGTACCATAAATCAGAAATATAAATATAAATGGACGGATACTAGAAAGAAAGGTGATTTGTTGGCAGAGACAGATTGTCAGCGGTAGTAAAAAAATAAGAGAGAGCAAAACTGTTTCAAGAATGCATGAAGCTCTCTTTCTTTTTACCCCCGAAAACTAAACAGAAAAAAAAAGGGAAAATATGTTGACAAAAACCCTGCCGGGAATTACGAATCTCCCCTGAACAGAAGAGAAACCTAGGCCGGAGCGATTGGGGCGGACATGCCTTGCAGATGAACTAAGCTCCCGGCGAACAAAAAACCCAGGAATCTAGACGGAAAACGGCGATGAGATTAGGGAGGCGACGGAAGACGGGTGGATCACCGGCGGAGGCGGGAGCGGCGTCCGGTCGTCTTCTCCGTTCGTCCCCACTTCACTCCCCAAGTTGGGTTTTTTTAGAGAGAGTGAGAGGGGAGGGGAGAGGAAGTAGAGCGGAGCTTCTCCGAGAAGCCGAGCACTTATTAGAAGGGCGGCTGCTCTCCTCTCTTGCGTGGGAACAGAAGAGAAGGGTCACATCACGTCAGGGGGCTTTTGACTTGGGCGGTCACCCTACCCTACTACACTACGCGTACGTGCACGGCTCAGCTGGTCTCCGGTAAAAGTCCAATACACGATCTTCCATACAGTGCGGTGTGGACGTTTGGTGCATGCGAGCGACGGGCGTGTGTGTGCGTCTATGTGCGTGTGTTTGACGCTCCAAGATTCGTGTACATGTGTTTCACATTTTCTACCTCTACGCTCTGCTGCTAACACATCCTCATGCTCCTGCAACGGCTGATTTGTAACTATACATGAATATTTTTTTTTTGCCTTCTAACATTATTTTCCCTACCACTGACAACAATATTGGTCTTCTACCAAATGAAATTTCTAGCCATGTCCATATTAAGCACATATTCTACCAATTTTTTTAAACTGTACCAACCAATGTATGAGTTTTTTTTTGTGCGATGGATATCTACCTACTTTGATTACCTTGATATGGAAATCCGCTGGTGCTCCCGGAAGTGCGCGCTCCTGCACGCGAAAATATCTTTTTAATGCCAAAAAAATCCAAGAAAAATTCTATGTGTTCTTTGTCACATTCAAATGCTACATACAAATTTGTAGGAAAAAAGATTAAACATTTTGGCTTGTGCATAAAAAGAGGAAAATGCTATCCCAAAATGTCACACTAAATTTGTTCTTTTCACCGGCGAAACACCGCTGCTCCGCTTCACATAAAATTTTTCAAAGATGCTTGCAACACTAACACAAACATCTACAAAAAAAATCAATTTTTTTAAAAAACATTTACTATATATTTTTGTTTACTATTCACACGGGAGCACGCGCTCCCGAAACCAAAAGGCCATTCTCGTAATAATGTGCTTTCTTATCTACTTCATAAAAAGCAAATTTGTGTTCTTTCTCAGCAAAAATATTGTCTTGCCTTTTGTTGAGAATGAAAATTATGTGTCTTGTTTCTATATGCTTCCTTCTGTCTATAATTGTGTGCTTGCTTATCCTATATCCTATATACGTAAGAGAGTAATCCCCACTAACTTATTTATCTCAACAAGCAGGCATGTCGCCTCACCTTACAATTATGAATGGGACAATGCTCACCTCAACATGCAATGTAAAAAAGGCCCACCACAACATTCAATCATGCATGGGAAAATGTTTTCCATGGAATTATATTATATTTATATTCAATAAATATTGTTGCCACTATACATAATCAAATAAATAAGTCATATGTATTTTTCAGTTGTGGTTCTCATGTTATGAACCAAAATTTTGATCAACCAATTCCGGCAGCATCGTGCTGGGTATCCTCTAATTTACCTAAATACCTCATCCCACTTTTTTATTATCTTAACATGCACACGCCCCTCCATGGGCCAATAGCTCCTGTGCGACACATTTCACGTGAGTTGGAAGGAGTGCGACGTGGTTGACGAAAATAACTGTAGTGAAACGCTTCAGAAGCCCAAATAGCCAAGGCCCA